TGACACAGGGGTCTGTTCTGCCTGAGTTTGGAATGTGTGACATTTCTGGACAATGTCTGATGGAGGTCTCAGGTGTCTCTTAACTGTAGCTGCCCTGAAAAAATAATTTGTAGTGAACATTTTCTTGCTGCTGTTACTGTGAAAAGCCTTTGTGGCAGCAGCAAGCTCCTCCCTGTATAACCTCGTATTGTATCACTCCACGCTTTCCTGAAGGATCAACAGCGTAACCCTGTGTTGCACCAAGTGTTCCCTTGTGTAAGGATAAATCTGACAGCTTTTGAATAAATATCCAGGTGACCTTAATGCCACTGCTGGACCACAGCTCCTGTTGCAGACCCTTGCTTTGCTCACTGGAAGAAGATGTGGCTGTAGACAGGAGTTATGATATCAAAATCTGGTTCCTTTTGGATTTGTCCTTTATCTCCCTTCAACACCTCCTATGTCTAACTCAAGTATTTCCCTTCCCAGGTCCTCCATCCCACAGCTGCTCTGTGCCTCCCACTTGCTGGGGTGTCCTAAGCAAACAGTGGAGCCTGTTCCACCAGGTGAGCCATAAAACCCACCCTTTTCCTGACCTGGTGCAAATTCTTGCCTTTACCCAGCTGGGTGCCTGGCCAAGGGCAGACCTCTCCAGCTGTTCTTGTCTGAGCCACATCGCTAACAGCTCTTATCAAGTCAGAATTTAAAATGTGTTCATTTTCAAACATCTCTGCTTTCAGATTTGAGATGTGAGAAGGTGTTTGTGCACTTGTCAGGCAGTCAGCAGCAATTTCATTCCCCTGTGTGAGGCTACACAAAAGGTGTGTGCTGATAAGTTGTGTCATTCATGAATCATTCTTGTCCATGCTGCTGCTCCATGAAGCTTTGGTAGAAGAGATCCGTTCTTGGAACTATGTTGAAGTCTTCAAGTATAATCCAAAAATGTTTCTGTTCTCCAGATATGTTCTTGTACTGTCTCATTGGAGAGTGTCTGTCTCTTTTGGGGGCTAGCATAATAGAAATGCTCTTTTATATTTGCAAAATATAAATTGTCAATGAAAATTAATGTGTACTTGGGAGGCATACAGATAGAAAAAGTAAAAGAGAGGTAGGCAGAAAATAGAGTACCTTGTCATCAGCCTGAGGCTGTGTGGTGACTTAATATCATTACAAAGCCTTGAGTTTCCTGAAATTATAAAGCAACTTCAAAGAGAGAGGTCAGCATGGTTTTAAGTAAGAGTGGAACAGTTCTACTCTTGTGGGTAGCATGAAGAATTCCACTCTTAGGCATTGAATATTAAATGCTTCAGAGTAGAGATGCTTGAAGCTCTGACATCAGCTCTAACTTCCCCTTGATGTCACATGCAGGGTTAGTGTTAGTTTGGGTTAAAATCATGTCTGAGCTAAAGGAGTTTGGCATGTTTGTGATTATGGACTCACTGAAATGGTATGGAATCAACTCTTTGTGGGTATTAATCACAGCATAAATGTTTGGATCACTTATTTAAAATGCTATTGTATTAGAGAAAAGTGTTTTTGGAAAAATACTTGTGTTGTAAAGAGCTACAAAAGTATTCCATCAATTTCTGACTTCAACACACTGGTTAGAGTGCAGTTCCAGTGAGTGATGCTGTTGGAGTTCTCCACTCATCTTTGTAGAGAGAATGCTTTTTTGAGAGCTGTGATTTTTTCCTCTCCTAGCCTGTAGGTTTTTCCAAGGTGCAATGGAAACAAAAGGATTTTCATGACTGTTTTAACTGTACTTCATGGGAATAATTTTTGCAGACATTATGCTGAATTCAGCTTCTCATAGAAATCTTGTAGAGGACATTCCATGCCACAGAGAGCAAAACAGTGTGAGTTTGGGCAGCAGTATCTTATAGTCTGGCAGATTAACAGGTGACCTCTTCCCTCCATCTCTGGCCAGGGGCATCTTGCAGTGATTCTTTCAGGTAGAACATGGCTTGCAGGTAGAACATATGGTTGGTTTTGTAGAGGTTCCTCTGTCATATGGGGAGACTTTATTGTTTTGCTGCATATTTTTGTTCTGTTAATAAGGGTGCAAGTTTAGTAGCAACTTTTACCAGAAGGAACTGGATCAGGTTCTTACAGAATTCATTGGCACAAAGTGATTTTGTGTTTGGGACTCAAATTCAGGGAAAATAAAGTCTAATGTCCTGTCTTGAACAGGTAAAATGAAAAACAGTGAAGTTTACAGTGCATTGCCTGCTTATATGAAGACTTCTAAAATTGGCTTCTATGCAATCTATTTTTGCAAATTTCAGTGGCCTTTCAGTACCTGAAGGGAGCCTACAAGAGGGATAGAGAGAGCTCATTCACAGGAGAATGTAGTGATAGGATAAGGGGGAATGGCTACAAACTAAAATAGGGGAGTTTTAGATTAGATATTAGGAAAAAAATTCTTTCCTATGAGGGTGGTGAGGCACTGGAACAGCTTTTAAAGAGAATGGATGTGGATGAGAATGGATGCCTCATCCCTGGAAGTGTTCAAGACTAAGTTGGATGGGGCTCTGAACAACCTGGTCTAGTGAATGTGCCCCTGCCCATGTCAGGGGTTGGAAGAGGATGATCTTGAAAGACCCTTCCAAACACAAACCATTATAGAATTCATTACTCTTATGTGATATAAGCCCTAAGTAATCAGCAGTAATATGTTAATTAATGTAATTGCATGTTTGTGCTAAGGAATAGGTTATATGGGCTAATGATGCCCAAACTCTTTGATTGTTTTTTGATTGTTTTGAGTTGTATCTAGTGAACAGGAAGTGAAAGCAATTTATGCAATTATGTGGATGGTGTAAACAATCAGACCTGACAGACCATGGATTTCAGGGGAGTGCTGTTATATGCCTCAAATGTACTCTTAGGCTGGCAGTTGACTCCAGTGACCCAAAGAACCCACAGACCACCTCAAAATACATCACCACAGGGTTTCCCCATGGTTGAGAGTTTTTGTTGGGTTACTGTTTTTATTTTTTTTTAATTATAGATTATACCCTGGCAGAACTAGGGGTGCAATGTAACCTTGTAACTGGCAATCACAAAACTCTGCCCTGCTTTCTAAAATGTCAACAATGTTCTCATCTAATGCCCTCAAGATTGCCATAAATTGTAGCTTCTGTGGGGATTTTTGAAGCATTGGTGAAGTTTTAGTTCCAAGTACAAAAATCAGCTTAGTTCCACATTTTTTATATATATGAGTTCCTGGTAAATATTCTCATTGAGCAAGAGTGTTGCTTTGCAGGGTTGAGGATGAAAAGCTGCAATTTCTGAGCACAGGTGAAAATCCAGTCTTTGAAGGTTTCATTGCACTCAGATGACTGGAGTATTGGAAGGACCAGATTTGAAAATATCAGGCTCAAGACAGGGCAGTTTGGCAGAGCAGCCATGTGGGTAGCTGGAAGAGCTCCAGGGAACAGACTCAATTTGGACTAAATGTTAGCTGAGTAAGGCATGACTAATAAGATTTTTTTAACAAAGCATTTTTAGAGTCTGTTGAAACCATTGATTTCCCTTGAAGAAAATTAAACATTAGCAAGTTTTTCCACTAATTCTAAAATAAAGCTCATGGTCTCACATTTAGCTTGTGTGGTGGGAAACTCCCTACAGTTCACTTTGGAAACCTTTCACTTTGGAAACCTTTTTAGGATTTAATAATCATCAGTGAATTGAGCTACTTAGGTCATTAAGCATTCAGCTGTTTTACCATCTCAGTGTAAAAATGGGTGCCTGCTTTTCATGTCATCTGGGGTTAGAATGTTGGAGAGAATACTGAATTAATTGGAAAATTAGCATAGATTGAATTACACTTGTGTGAGCTGTCAGTGATTTGGATGGGGAGGCCGGAAGTGTTTACTGGGGGAAGAAGCAGTGTGGGGAGTGGGCATGGGCTTTAAATGTGTGGGGACAGCAAAGTGTTTTGGATTGTGGTACTTCCTGAGATGGAGGGCAGGTGGAATTTGTGGCATGGCATGAATAATACATGGCATAATACTTTTTTTTCCTTTTCCTCTGGTGGCTTTGTGTTTTGGTGCTAGGCATAATGCAAAGGGTGACTTCCACTGAATGCAAGTGTGTTTCAGCAGGCTATTAAGGTTGTAACAGTATTGGTTGACTTGGTTTAATCTTAGTAGGTTGTGTATAGGGCCAGGGGAAATGGTTTTAAATGGAAACCATAGATTTAGAGTAGATATAAGGGCTGGCTGCAACCAGATTGGATATGGGTACCTTCAGCTTTTCTGAGCCCCAAACGACCACAAGGTACGGAAATTTAGGTTTGCTTGTGCTTATGTCACAGCTCAATGTGTGCTCTGTGTGTGGGATTTTGAACTTCCTCCACTAATTTTTCCTCTTCTATTAGGATTTTAAGAGAATAAAGCACATTTTGTACACTGGTGAGATGTGAAAATTGGACGAGATAAATGAAAAAATACAAGTAATAGCATTGGTATCTGTACTGCAAAGCACAATGCCAATTTTGCCACTGAGGAGAGGGGGAAATGACATAAGGGAGAAGTGTCGGTGTTGTAAAAATGTGACACTTCTCACAAATGGTTACTATGGGAGGAATTTATCTTGAGTACAGTGAGGCAGTAATGTCTCCTAGAAGTTTTCAACCAATACTGGAGCCTTAACAAAAATATTTTCCTATCTTCTTCCTAGGCTTGATGTACCAGGTTCCTCCAGTCCATGGCAGCTCAGAGCATTTTCCTCTCTGACCAGGCACTTTGGAGCTCTTTGGAGCCACTCTGTCCCTTTGTGTCCAATGGGTCTTACCCAGGAGTTGGAATTGCATCGAAAAGCTGATTCACTTTGAGCATAGGTAATTTTATTTCATCAACTTATTCAACTCCAGTGTTTGCCTGCACACAGGAGAGGAGTGTGGTCAGGCCAGAGCAGGGTTTTGACCCTGAGGCTGCCTTTGGATCAGCAGGCATTGCCCCAGCAGGAAATGGTTGCGGTGCACTGCAGTGTGCCCTGGATCCTGCCTGTTCTGATGCTCAAGCTGTGTTTTGTCCAAGGACCTCATGAAGGAGCTTCTTCACCTTAGTAAAGAAGTCTACCAGCTTGTTGAGTGGAAATGGGCAGGAGCTAACCTCACCCAATGGTGTTGGCTTTGGAGTGGGGGGTGCTGTTGGCAAAGGCTTTTGAGAGGGGATTGGTGTCGGCAATGGCTTATAAGTGGGGGGTTGTGTTGGCCATGGCTTAGGAGTGGGAGGGGGTGTTGGCCATGGCTTATAAGTGGGAAGTGGTGTTGGCCAGGGCTTATGAGTGGGAAGGGGAGTTGGCACTGGCTTAAGAGTGGGAGGTGGTGTTGGCCATGGCTTATGAGTGGGAAGGGGGGTTGGCCATGGCTTAGGAGTGGGGGGTTGTGTTGGCCATGGATTAGGAGTGGGAAGTAGTGTTGGCCATGGCTTAAGAGTGGGAATGGGTTGTACTGGCCATGGATTCAGAGTGGGAAGGGGACGTATTGGCCATGGTTTCAGAGTTGGTGGTGGGGGAACTGTCAATAAATGATTCCAGGTTTGTGATGATGGAGAACCCCGTCCAAGTCTGTTTACGCCTGTGTGGACAAGGATCCAGTCATAGAAGTATTGAGTGGAGATGTAGACTCCAGGCTGCCTTGCTCTGGCACAGCCTTTCCCCCAGCTGGTTATTCCGACGACCCACCAGACATCAGCATGGTTGTCCTGGCACATGAGAGGACCACCGCTGTCACCCTGCAGCAGAGCACAGAGGATTAAGGTGGTGTTGGTGGCACCTGCCAGCACTGGGGCTGTCTCCTTCTCTCTCACAGCCCCTGCCAGAGCTTTATTCTGGGCAGAGAAAAGTTCTGCTCAGAGGCTGGAGCCTCCAGAAGCTTGGCTCTGAATGAGTTGGGTTCCTGTAGGGTAGGGCTCTCTCTATCCTATCTGCACAGGACTCCTGGATGTGCAGAAGATGGAACTTTGGCACCTGGACCTCTTCACTGCCAAGAGCACTAGCTGGCCTTTCTGGGCTTTCTGGCACAAGGGGAGGCCTGGGCAGGCAGGTGTGGATGGGCAGTGTGTGGGAAGCCCCCACAGCAGTCAGGGGGAGCTGGGGCTGGGAGGGTGAGTGAGTGGCCAGGCAAAGCAGGCCCTGGGCTGTGTTGGGGTGGTGCTTCCCTGGCTGCTGGTGCTGCTGGGGGCTGAGTGGCTCGTGGCATGTTCCTACCTGGCAGGTGTCGATGCCGCCCTGTGGGTATCCAGCACACAAGTTGTGGGTGTGGATTTCCCCTGCGTACCAGTCACTGCTGTTGCAGACCTGGAGATCGATGAGCTGGACCTTGGCCTCCTGGAGGCGATCAGCTGATTCTTGAGCTGTGAGCAGAGAAAGGAATAAACCCTGAGCACCACATTGCCCATTCTCCTCTCCTGACTTGAAAAGGGAATTCTCTTCCCTAGGGTTTGGCTTTGCCTCTGCAGAGACCCTGGAGTGCTGTGACCCTTTTTCCTGCCTCTGGGGAGCAAGCCAGGTCCGTCTCTCAGAGGCATATGTTCTGCAGCCTGGCTTTGGTCTCTGCTGTGGGGAAGCCCAAACCCTCTCCTCAGTGGGCTGAGCTGGCCCAGGAGTTGCTCTTCGAACTCACATCTTGCAGTAGTGGAACCCCAGCCAGCAATCCAGCAGTTTTGCAGCTCTGACACTCTCAGTGTGGCATCGGGCACACAGGCCAGCTGGATGTAGGGGCTGCACTTGACAGGATGGTCCAATTCCAGCAGGGCAATGTCGTAGCTCATGTCATCAGGGTTGTAGTACTGGTGTATCAGCAACTGCTTGACACTGCGCATTTGTGCCCCATGCCCTGGCTGAGTCAACTGGGTGGCCCCAATCACCACAGACAGGAGGCTGATGTTACTGGAAAGGAGATGGAGAGAGAGATGGGAGGGAGCAGAACCATGTACCACAACAGCCCAGCAGTTGCCAGACCTCAGCTTGGAAAGGCACAGAGGGAGTAGTGCTCTGGCGGGTGTGAGTGCCCTCGCATGCCTTAGGCCGGGGGAATGTCAAGCTGGAGGCTGCTAGGAAGCCTTGGCATGAGCCCAGGCTTTTCCTGAGCACAGTGGCAGCCTGGCTGCCTGAGAGGAAAAGGCATGTAGGGAGTAGCAGCTGGTGCTGCTGGCAGGGCACCTGCTGGTGTTGTGGACATGTCCCCATTCCCTGCTCCTCCTTACTCAAACTTGTCGAAGCAGTGGGCTGCTGTGAGGACCCACTGTGTGCTGATGAGTGACCCTCCACACCAATGCCCTGGGTCTGGAACCCATGGGTGCTGGATGCTGACGATCCAGGGCCAGGCCCCTGGCAGGGCACCGGCACCACCCACGATGCGTGTCATGCCGGAGTCATAAGCCATGTCGCCGTAGTAGTACGTCATGAGGCCATAGTCAGACACCACGGCTCGGAGTCCGCAGGTCCCTCTGCAAGCAGAAAGTCATTTCCATGCTGCTTCATGGCCTGCTGTGGCTCAGGCTGAAGCTCAGCCCTCTGCCCTCCCCACAAGGGCTTGCACACACAGCAGGCCAGGGAAGCCCATGGGGTGTGTGTGTCTGTGCCAGCACCTGGCTGCTGGCAAGGAACTGAGGCTTCCCGTGGTGAGTGGGAAGCTGTGGCCTGGCCGTGGGGGACAGGCACGTCCCCTCCAGGGAAGGCCGCAAGTGTTGCCATGGCTCCTTCCCTGGGCCTGGGGCCCCTTACCCGCAGTTGTCCCATGTCCCATGCGCCAGCCCAGCCACGGTCAGCAGGACGAGGAGGCCAAGCCAATTCATGGCTGCCAGAGGCACGTGTCAGCTGCAAGCACTGAGAGCTCCGTGCAGCAGCACAGTCACAGCCGCACTGCCCGCAGCAGCTGCGCTGCCCATGGTGCCCTTGGTCCTGGGGCTGATGTCACAGAGGGGTGGGTTCCATGTTCTGAGCACTGCAGGGTTCTGTGGCACAGGGCCCACTGGGGGAGGGGCAACATCTAATTGGTTAGCCATAGGAAGGTTCAGGCTGGAAGGGACCTTGGTGATCATCTAGCTCTGACCCCCTTGCCTTGGGTATGGAGGGATGGCTTGCATTAGACCCAGTTGTCCACAGTGTACATGTCTTGGCTTAGAAGCTGTCCTTGAACACTTTCAGAGATGAGGGATTTAAGTACTAAGTCCTGGTCAACAGGCCAGGACTGAAGGCCTGAACAGCAGGCCTTTTGCCAATATTGGCCACTAGATGGGCCTTCAAAGCAAGTGTTACGTATAGCCACTCCCTGGATGAAAAATGGGTTTACCTTTCCATACTTAGGAACTAGACAAGGCTACATCTGGCCTTGTTTTGGGGGTGTGGGATCACAGACAAATCTCTTGGTTTCTCTTGGAGCCCTCCCAGGCCTTGGGAGCATCCCAGTAGGAGAATGAAGCCAGATGTTACTGCACTAGAAGTTTTGGTGTCTTGCTTATTCCGCAGTATAAAAATGGGGACCTCTCACAGTCAATCAGTACCCTCACTGCCTGTAGGGGAAGGTATCTGCAGGATTTCCCAGTTTCTGTCAGTGGTTCCCCAGTCCTTCAACACGACAGTGGCTTCCACCCAGTTGATGGGCAGGCCTGGATGATGGTCAAGGATTAGGGTAACTTGTGATGTGTCTTTCTTCATCACAGTAGGCAGTCTTTTATAGTAATGATTAGATGCAATGCCTATCTTGTCCTTTTATAAATATTTGATAATGTTTTGATGTCCTGTTTACTTATCCATTTGCAATTCTTTGCAGTTTCAAATTACAGTAAATGACATTTATTCCTGAAGTTGGTGTCTGTGTCTTCTGTGCTGACCCTGCTTACATGAAAAACAGGCATCCACAGCTGCTCTGGGATGCCAGTATCTCAGCAGCCTCACAGTCAAGAATTCCTACCCAGTATCTCATCTAAAGCTACCCTCTGTCACTGTAAAGCCATTGCCCTTTGTCCTTTTAGGACCTGCCCTTGTAAGAAGGCTCTCTGCTGCTTTCTTAGGCCCCTCTTCCTGCAGGATGAGGCTGTGCAGTCCCTGGGGCAGGCAGCAGCTGAGGAATCCATTTGGGGCAGGGAGCTGGGTGTGCAGCTGCAGTGCCAGCTGCAGACTGAGCTCTGGCTGGCAGGAGCCTGGGACCAGAGGCTGTGAACTGCCCATGCTTTGCATAACAGAGGGCACAGGGAGCTGCGGCACTGGCCAGGATTTGAATGGACACTGAGCACTGCAGCAGGAGCTGGTGGCTCTTTATGGAATGTGACATCTGCGAGTCTGCTGGGGGAATCCTGAGGCTGAATGGGTGTGGAAACCTGCTTTGACTGGGTGAGAGTGGCATGGGTAGGGAATCAAACAGGGCAACCATAGGCTCGTTGGAGCCACCTGTGCTTCCAAAATGGTCACCCAGGGGAGTTTCCGCAGCACTTTGGCAGCCCAGATGGGACCCAAGGGCTGCTGGAGCCTCCATCCATCAGAGCAGGTACTGGTGAGTTCACCTGGGATCTTTAGAGCAGGAAGAAGCCAAATGCGAGCATTACAATTTCATGTGTAGACTCTGTGTAAATTATAAGGGTGCATTTGAGCCTCTCTACTGTTGTGGCATTTCATGCAGATTTGGTGAAAGCACTGGTAGAGGGTGGAGAAGGCATGCACAGCATGATCAGTGTAAGGTGGCCACAGAAGAGTTGTGGAGGCCCCTGTAAGACGTGAATTGGGGGTCCTGAGTCTCTGTTAGGACACTTGAGTCTCTGTTCAAAGTCCTTTGGAGACAGACACAGGGAGACCCTTGTGTTCCTCATGCCACACAATGGGTGCTAGGGTCCCTGGGCACACACAGAAGGGGGTGGAAGTCCCTTCACAAGGGACTCCTTCAGAAAGGGGTTTCATGTGCTTCGAGGTGTTTGATGAGATGGGAAATATCCCTGGTTTATTTAGGTGAGGAGATGTCCATGCCTGAGGTTGCACAGAACTGGGAGAAATTGTTTGGGTAGCAGAATTTTGCCAAGACAGTGCAATAAGATTGTTCCAGGATGGTTGGGTGACTCTAAGCTGGTCTAGCTGGTCTGCTCATTGGACAGGGTAATGGCCATCCCCAACCCTGAGTGACACTCTTTCACTGTCTTTAGTGACCAGGCAGCCTCTGAAATTTACTTCAGGAAATATTTGAAGAAGCTTAAGTCCGGGTGGCAGGGACCAGTACAGATGTGGGATGGTTCTTCTCAGCCCAGCCCATCTTAAGACAAATGGAGGCATGCCACCCACTGTGAGATAGGATTCCATTGGCCTGGTGATGCCAGATTGATTTTTGCCTTTTCTCTTTTATATATTCCTTGTATTCTTTACACATATATTTGTAGCTCTGTAGCCTGTTGTTGTATCTCTGGTGAGTTTTCTCAGTACTTTTCCCTTCCTTTTCTCTAAGTAGAAAGACAAAACATATTTCAGACCTCCAAGCCCTGGAGAGTACAAGGCAACCAAACATATATTTGTTCTTCTTGGAAACCAAGGCTGGAAACAGCTCTTTGAGGCACATTTTCATTAGCAAGGATTAGTTTCCATCGGAGTGGAAGTGGATTTAGACTGTTGAACTGAGGGAAGAATTATTTCACCATGTATGGTCCAAATTGGTGATTTTTGTCAAACATGTTAATTTATTAAGCTTGTAAAACTGTATTCACCTCATGTAGGGGAGGAATTCTATGGTCATTTGCTATATCTGCTACTGGAGGCCTCCAATAAAGATGAGCCTTTATATTACCTCCTATGTCGAAAGTGTGGTTTTTTTGTTTTGTTCTAGGTTCTTTAAGGCATCACGTGAAGCCAAGAAGAGTATGCAAAGCAGGTGGAGTGACACCCAGCCCAAGGCATTTTGAAGCATTCTATTAGATGGAGAAAGTCAATGTTCACTTGCTTTCACCTGTAAAAGACAGGTGAAAACTGCCTTCAACAAGTCTACCCCATGGCATTCCAGAAGCCTCTACCATACCCCCCTTCCCCATCCAAGAGTATCAAAGTTTGATTGAAAAGGATATAAAAATTTGGTGCAAATTCATACAGTTTGTAGATGATTTGTTAATTAGTGAATTAAGAAGATTCTTGCCCATCCTGTGGTGGTTATCTACAGCCCTCAAGGCAAACCAGCAAAGCAAGCTGCAGTTTGTGTCTCTGCAGCTGGCTCTTTGATTGCTCCTTCTCTCCATTGGCCACACTTATACAGCCCTCTCATCTTCCACAACTCCTCCCTTTCTCTGCCCTCATCTCCTCCCAAATATGGAGCCAAGCCCAGGCATCATTTCCCCCTGGCTCACAGGCTGGCCATGCCTGTGAACAGCCGTGGTGTTGCAGGTGGTGTTGGCTCACTCACCTTGGCCTTCCACGGCATTCCTGGTGTGCTTTCCTAGGGTTCCTGCCAGGTTCCTCTCCCCAGAATGACCCCAGCTCTTCCTCTGAGTATCTGTGAAGTGTGACCACCTGGCACCTCAATGCCCCTTTGCTGCCTGTGAAATCTGGCTCTGCCTTAGGGCACTGGCACTCCAGTCAGGAGCCAGGAGTTTCCCTTGTCATGCTTGGAAGTTTCCCAGATCTGTTCCCTTAGCCCAGGCTCTCACCAGGCCCTAAATCAGCAGCCCATGTGCATTTGAGCACCACCCCAAGGTATGTGCTTTTTTCCTATCCTCTTCCAAGGCTTGAGGTAGCAGGTTCCTCCAGGCCATGGTGGCTCAGAGCACTTTTCTCTCTGATCAGGCACTTTGGAGCTCTTTGGAGCCACTGTGTCCCTTTGTGCCCCCAGGCTCGTTCTGCAGGTGCTGAGCATGGCACTTCTTGTCTTACCCCGGAGTTGGAATTGCACTGAAAAGATGGTTCCATGTGAACAAAGGTAATTTTATTTCAACAACTAAATCAACTCCAGTGTGTGTGTGTGTGCACAGAGGAGATGAATGTGGTCAGAACAGAGAAGGGTTTTGACCCTGAGGCTGCCTTTGGAACAGCAGGCATTGCCCCAGCAGGAAATGGTTGTGGTACACTGGAGCCTGCCCTGGATCCTGCCTGGTTCTGCTGCTCAAGGAGCACTTTTAACTGCGTTTATACGTATATTGTAATCGATCCAATCATAGAAGTGCTGAACGGAGCTGTAGACTCCAGGCTGCATTGCTCTGGCACAGCCTTCCCCCCAGCTGGTCACTCCGATGACCCACCAGTAGGCAGCGTTGTTGTCCTGGCACATGAGAGGACCACCGCTGTCACCCTGCAGCAGAGCACAGAGGATTAAGGTGGTGTTGGTAGCACCTGCCAGCACTGGGGCTGTCTCCTCTCACAGCCCCTGCCAGAGCTTTTATTCTGGGCAGAGAAAAGTTCTGCTCAGAGGCTGGAGCCTCCAGAAGCTTGGCTCTGAATGAGTTGGGTTCTTATAGGATAGGGCTCTCTGGATGTGCAGAGGATGGAACTTTGGCACCTGGACCTCTTCACTGCCAAGAGCACTAGCTGGCCTTTCTGGGCTTTCTGGCACAAGGGGAGGCCTGGGCAGGCAGGTGTGGATGGGCAGTGTGTGGGAAGCCCCCACAGCAGTCAGGGGGAGCTGGGGCTGGGAGGGTGAGTGAGTGGCCGGGCAAAGCAGGCCCTGGGCTGTGTTGGGGTGGTGCTTCCCTGGCTGCTGGTGCTGCTGGGGGCTGAGTGGCTCGTGGCACGTTCCTACCTGGCAGGAGTCAATGGTGCCCTGTGGGTATCCAGCGCACAAGTTGTAGGGATGGACTTCTCCTGCGTACCAGTCACTGCTGTTGCATAGCTGGAG